ACACACACACACACACACACACACACACACACACTTAGACATTCAATAAAGAATTGGTCACTGCTCAACCAGCCGAAGTACTTCAAGCAAAAGCAGTACTTATTTAAATCATACACAAAAAACATTTCACCATAAAAATCTAAAAAAAGAGATGAAATATACATTTAAAACAATAATATGACAAAATATGTGGAATACGTTTTTCATCAACCAGTATTTTTCCTGGATTTGGTAAATTGTTGAATCTGCTCTGCAATTCAATAATGTGCAAAACTGTCTTTCTTTCCTTTGACCAACTGTTTTAGTGACATTCAGGCTCCGGGAGGCTTCACACCGCCACCCAGAGGATCGAGATGTTAGTGCCTCCCTCGTGTGTTATCTGGTTAACACGCCCACGGATACAGTCCAGAGTCACGTACACAGCTGTGCCGTTCTGCACCTGAAATGAGGCCCTGAGCCCGATGCTGGCCCACTCGCTGCCTTCAGGCATGTATCCAGACACCTGCTGAGCCACAGGACCCGCCTGCCCACTCTGACCTGGGCCTGCCACCTGCTGCAACGTGAGTTTTACTATGTTACAGGAGTGGATCAGCTTCAGGTTGAGCGCGACGTTCGCTGTCCCTTTCTCGTGGAATATAAAGTTCTTCCGGCCGCTCGGCGCGCCTGAGCGGGCCAAGTGAACCTGCGGCGTGTCTGAGCTGATCTGCTGGAACAGCAGCGGTTTGTTCCTCACCGCTCCGAAGGGAAGACCGGTCCTGGACACGGTAGCGGTCAAAGCCGACGACACAGCTGAAGGAATCCAGATGAGGCTCAGCATGCTGATGCCGGTGCTGTCCCCGAAATAACGGATGTTGCACTGGGAGGGAGACGTGATCTCGAAGCTGAGTGTGTCTCCCCTGTCCACGCTCACGGCACCAGAGAGGGTGATGGAGGTGTCCCTGTAGTTGACGCCTGTCTTGAAGGCCTGCGTCGCCTCCACACCCGTCCCGTTGCGGTTAGTGTAAGCGATCAGGGAGAAACCCTCTCGAATGCAGGTGTGGCCCATGGAGTACAGCGCCTGCTGGAGGATGAACTTCACCACGCCGCTCTCTGTGAAGCGCACCCCGCGGCTGTCGTGGGTCAGGCTGATCATGTACGGGTCAGACACTGAGGTCATACGGAACGTCGGGCGGTAGCTGGTCTGGTAGTGGACCAACAGGGACATCTGAGCTGTCATGGCAACAGCGCCGGTATCATGAGACAACCAGAGGAGACTCAAAGAGGGAGCGGTGACGTCGTACACATGAAGATCCTTGCTCTGGTTGCAGTGTTGATTCGGACTCTTCAGCAGGAGGGTGAGGGTGTGATTAGGCTCAACCTCGACTCCGCTGCTGACGCTCACCCCCTGAAAGTACTTCCCATCGGGCTGTTCGATGCGGACGCCACTGAGATCCTGACCCTCCTCCTCCTGGCTGCCGTTGAGCCTCATCCCAACCTGGAGGAAGTTCCTGCAGCTGTGCTTTAATGCAAAGTTATGATCCAACCACACCAGGCCGTGCTGCAGGAAGGTCACCTGCCCCGCTTCGTTGGACAGCAAATCGCTGCTCTCCTTCCCTCGGATGTTCAGCTGAAGCCCCTGGAAGATGTTGGTGCCGGTGGTCCGAGCAGACGGAACTGCAACGTTCGCCGCCCAGGACTGAGAGAGTCGGCTCTCTGAACTCTGGCTGCACACAGCGTCGCTGACGGCCGTGCACGGGACAGAGACAGGCTCTCCGTCACAGTCCGAACAGGCCTGGCACTCCTGCAGCTCCTGGTTGTAGAAGTAGTCGTGGCCGCACATGCCCAGCTCCACTTCCCTCTCAGACACCCCCAGACACCTGAAGCCTCCTGAGCCAGAGAGAAAATATGATTGTATTGTGTGGATGAAAAATACTGAGATTCTTTTGGTTTTAAATAAACTGGTGTGAATGGGTTCTAAGATAAAATCTGTCCATGATCGTAGAATAACTTGTGTTTGTTATCAGCGCCATGTTTTAAACTCACCTGGGGTGTTCAGGCACTTCACTCGCTCCCCACAAATGTTTGGTAGCTCAAGGCATTCGTCTCTGTCCTGTAATTCATACAGATTCATTTTATCTTCATGAAAACATTCTGATATTAATAAAAAATCATTTCCAAAAACCTGCAATACCAATATCTGCTTAAGTTCTGAAGCTGTAAGTAGACATTTTGTGTTTGTGTTTGAAATTGAAGACAAGGATCAATCACTCAGTCTTTGAAAGGTCAGTACCTGGCACATGCGGTCTGCAGTGGACGAGCACTGTGAGATGAGGAAGAAGCCAGGTGGACACATGGTGCACTTCTCACACTGAGGCGGGTCCCTCTGAAAATCACAGAACTCCTCTGGTCCGCAGGGCGAAGGGCATCCCAGCAGAGGTTGAGGGAAATTCGCCTCCCCGACCACGTCCATCACCTTCGTGTCCATGTCCACTTTGTGGACGGCGTAGGACTTCTGCAGGTGGCTGCGGGCCTGGCTCTGCAGCCCCGCCAAGTGGCTCTCAAAGTAGCTCTGCAGCTCGCCCTGCAGGCCCTGGAAGGACACCTGTTTGACGGTGTCCGAGAGGAGGCTGTACTGGGCCTTCACCACGTCCATCTGCTCGTACATGCGCCGCTGCTGCTCCAGGATTTCGCGCTGCTGTGACAGAAGGGCGTCCTGTTGGTCCACGAGCTTCTGCTGCAGGTCGCGGATGACCACCTGCTGGGCGCGCAGGGCCTCCACCAGCTTCTCCTGCCCCTTGGCCAGCTGGAGGTGCAGGATGAGGGCGTCCTCTGAGGGGACTTCATTCTCGCCTGCGATGAAAATAATGCAGAGTGAAAGACGGGAACACACTTGCTGTTAAACAGTGAACTGGAGGAAATGATTAAATGAGATTAAGTCTGGTGCAGAAGTCCGATTTCAGTGAGGTGCTGGCCCCCAGTGTGTGAACACCCAGTGACCCCGCCGACATGAAAGAACTAGAGCTTTTCTGGACAATTGACTTTGAGACATTGTTCCAGTTGAGCTGCTCTAGATGCCCCGCAGATAACATTGAGTTCTAAAGGTCGACAGAGTCCTACCTTGGTTTACAACCCCCACAGCTGATCACAGGTGGAGGAGGTTAAAGCCAATAAAGTGCAGGAGGTGAATTTAAAGGAAATTCAGTGAAAATAATACTTTTTGGATGATTGACTCCTTTGTGTCCTCTTTGGACATTTGGAAAAAGTAAATCAGCCTGAGATCGTCTACACACAACAGATGATGCTGATGATGGAGATAGCAGACCTGGCTTGATGTCACATGTGAGCTGGACACCCAGAGGCGCGCCGCCAAGTTCCGACGAAGAATATCCAAACTCCGGGAAGTCTCCCAGGAACTGCGCGGCTCTGTCGGACAGATGCACGGGAGGACGCTGGCTGGAGACGCTCTCCTCTGAAGCGGCCAGACAGCCCTCACCCACACAGGACTTCGCCCGAGCTTTTGGCCGGATCCTCGGGGGCAGTCTGCACTCGATCCCTCTGCAGTCTCGGGTGTCGTTAGTGGGTTGAAATTGCTTGACAGGAGCGGCGCAGCCCGCGTCCGTGCACCCTGCAGGTAGAGGGAGGACCTCGGGCGCTCTCATCCGTGCGCCTCCACCTCCTCCTCCACCTCCTCCTCCTCCTCCTCCGCCGCTGATGTTTCCGTGTCGCCCGCGTAGAGGCTGCGCGGCCGGGTAGGCTTGCGACGCAGCTCTCGGAGAACCCGGGTACGCGTGGTGTTGGCTGGCCACTATCTGCGCCGCTCTCCCCTGCGTGGTGGGGTTGAATTGCCGCGGCTGCCTGGAGGATCTGCCCCCCGGACAGTGCTCTCCGGTGCACGGTCTCGGATCGCTCGCGTCCCCGCCGAAGCAGTGCGTCCCCCGGCAAAAATCTGCTGCAGCTTGCGCGGTGTTGTGCAGCGAAACCCAGGAGAGCAGCAGCACTGATGTTAGTAAAACCATGTTTGCATGAGAAAAAAATCCTTCTCTACCTGCAAAAGCAGAATATGCACGTTTAAGCTTATTGGTTAACCAAATGGAAAATCTGGGAAAAAGCTGAAGTTAATCATAAAAAAACAAACTTTATCTCAGTTGATGTGCAGCTCCTGACACGACATCACCTCCAGCTGCAGGTTTGGTGAGACTGACTTCCCTGAGTGTCAGTGAGGAATAAACACATTGGACATTACTGCTGCTGCCTCCTGAGCCTCTGAGCTCCTGCACTGTCAGGATGAGGAATTCCAAAGCTTAATTAGCATCAGGTTTCCCCAGCCCCGAATTAACCCTTCAGCTTCCCTGCATCTCCACACAGGACCTCCCCATGAAGACAGAAAGACAGAATACACTTATTTATTTCAAATGATCCCTCTGTTCTCTTTTCAAAGTGTCATGCTTTATGGCAGAGTTTTGGAGTCATGCTAAGAATAAATGAGGCAGATTTATTTTTCTTTTGCATTTCCAGAATAAAGTCAACAGTTTGAGAATGACATCATTTTTTGGAAATATTGAAGCATATAGAAGAAACATCCAACTAAAGGAGGGGGAGATTTTCTTGTATGTTGTAAATAAAGTTGTGATGCCAAGAATGAAGGAAGTGGAAATGTCAAAGAATAAATTCTAAATGTCAAAGAATAAATTCTAAATGTCAAGAAAAACATCCAAAAACTTCGGTGTTTTCTAAATAATTGAATAAAAAACATTGAATTATTGATAAAATTCATTTTTTTTCTTTGAAATTTCAAGTTTATTCTCAACATTTCACCTTAATTTTCTTGTCATTTAGTTCCTTACGCCCCACCACTCTTCACTTTTGCTCTAATTCTCTTCCGTACTTTCCTGACTGTCACTTTTCATTTCCCTCACTGTTGACTCTCCTTCCTCCCAAAGAGAAAGTGATTGTTGAGACAGCTGCTGGTCCTCAACCCTGTATTCTCCATGTTATACAGGCCTTGTCAACACCGAGCTGCCCTCGTTATAGACAAAGCCAACAAAGGTCAAACTTTTGTTGAAGGGACTTGTGGCAGAAGTCAGGAATGTGAAATCCGCAGCTGCTTTCTCCTAATAAATCTCATCTCAGTGTTTCCAACCTCAGGTCCGGTGGGGGGGTTATCTGAGGCTGATGTGTGGGGTAGTTTGGCAGATTATGTTGTAAATGTCTGTTTGAAAATGTGGAGGTCAGGTAGGGAGTCAATTACTGCCAAGTACAGAAAAGTTTAAATGATGACATCTATTTCCTCCCATTTACTTTGATTATCCTCCAACTTTTACAAACTCGTTTCATCATAATATCAAAAACATGATTCATCTTGTTTTGAATCTCAGAGCTTTGACATTTCTTATCTCACAATTTGAACTTTGACTCATTATATTTGACGTGGATTTCCCTTAATGTTGACATTTTATGATCTCTCGTTATTTCCATTAACTTTCTTTTCCACATTGAAGTTTCACTCCTGTTAAACAAAACAAACCTCAGTTTTCTTGTTTTCTGGAAACTGTTGGTAAATAAGTGCTGCCAAAGAGAGCGGAGGGGCTCTGAGGAATCAGCTGCATACGTACAAAAACATCCAGTTAATTGGTCGTTATTCTTCTGGTGCAAACGAGCAGCGTGGATTATTTCACCGCAAAAAAAAAAAAAAAAAAAAAAAAGCACTGCGGCCGGTCTGAGCTGCTCCACACCACCCACAGAGTTCAATGGTGTTTGGCATGTACAGTACAGCAGAGTACAAACAGAGGGCACTGCAACACTCCCACTTTTCACATCATCAGAGTGACAGTTTGTCCTCTGCAGTATTACATTTACCTAACGCTCTATCGTTTTGCAAGGTGCCCACTGGTTTTGTCATTATCACCCCATTTTCTTCTCTGTGCCCGAGCCCAGGGAAGGTGTTTAGAGGGTGTGTTGGAGCGCTCAGATTCAACATGACAGAGAATAATGATTTAAAAATATGCCCTCTGGTACATCTCTCACCTTAACATCTGGGGTTTGTAATTTTTTTCTTAAATCTAACAGACTGCTCTTTGTTAAGAAAGGTCTTGGCTTTGCAACCAGTTCCTACTTCGTTGTATTAAGGTGACTAAAAATAACACTCAGTTTCTTGACTGTGTGCTGTGACACATGTTGGATAACAACATCAGTGCCCCTCTGTTGGACCACCCTCAGATGCAGTGAAGCGCGGCTGCAAAGACACAACAAAGCGGAAAAAGTCTGCGGATCAACATGCCAGTGAGTAGGTGGAGTAGCGACTAGTTGCGCTTCTCGCTGTGTCCGGGTGTTAAAAAACAAAAGCGGAAAAAAAAAAAAAAAAAATCACCCCGCACTTGAGAAATGTTCTCTGAGGCACCAGCGTGCTCGTGTTTGGGAGATTCTCTGGTCTCTGATCCTTTTGGTGTCCATGTGTTTGTCAACCCCTGAGAGAGGGAGGAAATGAGGGCGGTCGGGACACATGGAGTGTTTGTTTAATGCATCACGAGTCATGAAAGGCTCTCCAACGCATTCAAGGTTATTTGGTTTCCCCCCCATGGAGCTCAACTTCGCTGTATGATGACAGGATTTCAACACAGAGAGAGAGTGGTCGGCCTTTCCCCTCGGAGCTGAGGGTGTCTTGAGGCAAAATAGGACACAGAGGTGCTATTAATAGTGAAATAATGCAGACAGAGACTAATGTTTTCCTGGAAAATGACGGAATCAGCATCATAGGGCATCATAATGCTAATTATTCCCTCAGTTTCCTAATATTTTTGACATGTTGTTGATTTGAGCTGCACACCAAGGCCCTGTGAGCTGAAGGAAGATCACAAAGAGATGTGAAATCTTGATTCTTGGCCTCCCAGGTTGACTCAAGGAGAAATGCAAATAAATACAGCTATCTGTGTCTGCATGGCCAGATAAGAGCTGGAGGCTATTCATACGTTGACAGCTTGACTTTCCTTGGTCCCCCCCCCCCCCCCCCCCCCCCCCCCCCCCCCCCCCCCACCCCCCCCCCTTGAAGATAAATGACCTTGTTGCACCACACCAGTGTCTTAAGATATTCCTTCCTGATTTCAAGACCAGAAGGTTGTACATTTTTTAATTGCACGGAAGATGTGTGCTTTATTTCTGCTCTGGTATCCGTCAGCGCTGTGACGTGCCACATGACCACTCCTGTCCACAGACCTGCAGTAAATCAGTTTCTATGAGGTGAATTATTAACCGAGGCCCGTCACATTCTCCGTGCTGAGTCAGCGTTCCCTTCAAATCTCACCAATACTATTTCATTTCTCTCCACACACTCAATCATCTGCTCAAGCGGTTGTCAATCACCGACATGGTCGTGAATGAGAGTTTTCTCCTGGTGAGACTGAAACAGTTGCAGTGCAGATAAGAAGCACTGTGAGGGGGGGGGGGGTGGCAGCCTAGCGCTGCCCTGACAAGACTGTTGTGAAAGTGTGGAGGCTCTTTGCAAGAATGCAGTGACAGGTCTAGACCTGAACTTCCGCATTGAGCAGGAAGAAAATCAACAGTCAGAGAGCCAGATGCAATCCACATCAGCACACCCTGCATGTAACTGCTTTTTACTGGTGTAGAGCTTCATCACAGGGTAATATTCGGTCCATGAAGCGGTTATCTTGAAACTAACTGGAGTAACAAGGATTAAAACAATCTGCAGAGGTGAGTCCCGGCTCTGTTAATCTGTACCTTCAGTTAACGGTGAACACCCAGAGCTGCTTTCCTGACTCTGACTACTCTGTGTACGATGGTTTGTTGTTTTCAGTTGATGGCGCTGTCAAACAGAGCGTTTGTTTCCCTGCCTCAGTCACAGCAGATATGCAGATATGTCAGTTAGTGTTTGTTGTGGCTGAACATCCGAGGCATTCTGTCAGATTTAATGATTCTAAAGCTTCCTTTTTAAAAAAAAAAGTTGTCAAACCAGGATCAAAAAAATGTCTGAAAACTGTCATGGTAGTGATCTACGATCTTTTTGTTCTGGTGAGATAAATCTAAATTAGTTTGCTGTACCACAAATAAAAAATACATTAGGCGTATTTCAAGATGACAAGACGGGTGTTAGTTCATCTGTGTTCCTGTCTACGGTCCAACAGGGTGGAGCCAGCTCTAATGTCAGACTGCGACATGACTCAATGACCACGAGAAACCGAGAGGCCTGGCCTCTTATTTTTAAAGCTCGCAGTGCTGTCAGTTTGTCACTGATGATTGGAACATTTTGTACATTTGGCTTCTGAGATGAGACGTAATCACAGAGGAACACACTGAATCACTTACATGGTGTATCACAGAACATGTCTGATTCAAAGGATGGACTTAAAACCACTTAGTTGACGGTGTTTTTTTCTTGTTTTTGAGCGTCGTCAAGCAATAAAACACCTCAGTACATGTTTATACACACTGTCCAATGACTCCTATGGACTATTTGACTCATTTGCACTAAAAAAAGTACATATCCCCGTTACTCAGTTACTGTAGGTCTTGTGTTTTTAACGTCCCAGTTTGATTCTAAGACAAACCCTCTTCAGCAATCTCAGATATGATCTTGTGTATTGTTAAATGCCAGTTATGATTTGAGGATTTTCATCCCCTCCAGCACTTTGTTTCAGAGTCCCTGACTTCTCTTCTTCACGGTAGCGTTCGACCAGTTCTGTAAACACATCTGCATGAGAGTACAGTTTCTCAATCTGAGTGAAAGAAGCAGTTTCACTACATTATGTCAAACACTCTTTGCCTTGTGTTATTGTCTGGTTTCCATTTTCTTGACTTATGCATGTGCAGGCTTATAAAAAAAGGCCGAGACATATATTTGAGCTTATTTAGGAGGGAGGAGGGGAAACTGTTTTCTGGAGGAATGCACTTGCATATATATACTGTATATGTCCAGACTTTAATTTCAGCGAATACCAGAAGTATGTGGTGTGTTCTCACAATGCGTCGTGCGAGTCTGGAGAGTTGCCAGTATTCATGCCTGAGTGTTTCCAATAATATTTAAAAATGCTGACAAATCACATATTCTCAGGGCCGTTTCTGCAAAAAGGCAGTGAAACTCTTTAGTGAAAGTATTTCTTCATCCAAAAATAATGTGAATCATAAGTTCACGTCCATGAAAATTGTTGTGCACTGCAGCTATTGCTAGAAAATCCTGTCCAACAAAGTGTGGCCCTTTAGAGAACTGGATGCATCAATATATTTCTGTCAGATAGCATTAGTCATGCCAGTGTTCCACTTCCAACTAAGACGTTCTCCGAAGTTCCTGATAAGAATCTTTTGAATGATTTTGCAACAGATCTCTGTCAAACCCGATTTCTTGTGCCAAAGATGTTGAAGAGTTTTATTCATGTTTTTATGAACATGGTCGGACTTTTGGAGAAATTAGCTTGTTCCCTCTCTCTCTTGCTGAGAGTTCGGTGACGAGATGAGATGAGGCAGTTTTCAAGATCTGACCAAATGAAATACTGATCCCCTCCGACTTCTCTTTGCCACATGAGGGTTGAAAGAGCTCAGTTTAATGTATTTGGACTCTAAAAGCATACAGGCATTTTTCTCCTTCTCTGAAAAGAGAAACATTCCTTGATCAATCTATGAACCACAATTAAACCAGTTAAATTAAAATGTGACGTTATACCAGTTAGGTAAAACCCTTACGTTAAGTTTGGAAGTGGCTCATGTCATCATTTCCTGCTCGATTTCAACATAGCACATTGGCAGGAAGTTTACGCTTCACCACTTCCTCCCAAAGGGTAAAGCATCTGTGTAAAAAGGGTGGAGGCGCACAAGCTCAAAGAGTACGAAACCCACTCATGAATATGTCACATGGAAATTAAGGCTTGACACCAAGACGTTCGTACACATCACAGAGTTGTGTTATATCATCACATTCAACCACACATGCAGACGTCATCTGTTAGTCGGAACAATATTGATCCATTTCACATTCAAATGGGAAACATCATGTCACAACAGCCTCTGAGCTCTGGCCTGGAACAGCTTCAGTCACACTCGTCTCCACACTGTGACCGAAGGTTTTTGCCTCGGGTGTCTTTTGATTAAATTCTTGCAAAGCGTTTCTCTCTCTTCTGTTGCTGGATCTTATAGTTTACTGCACATGAGTCCACACTGAGAATCATGTGCAGCCACTTTGTTAAAGATAATATTTTTCATATCTAATGTATCATAGCAGCAAAAAAAAACAAAACGTGAAGAGTTATTCAAACATGTCTGAACGAGCATGAACAGCATTACAAAAAAACTCTTTCCAAAACAAACCTGAACGCAACTCTGTTCAATTTCATAAAGCATAGGAACACATGGATGTTTAATCAGTGTACCAACCTTCCACTTTTCATATGTATTGTACTGCATTGAATAACCTTGTTGTTGAGAGGTACTATACAAAAAACTACATTTTCTTCTGTGGTTCCAAAGTTATTTTGGTTCTGACAGGTCCAAGTTAGCAAAGTCAATCAGAAGGAAATAGATTTTTGTACGATCGTGAATCAAAAGTTGTCCAGTAAAGTCCAGTAACAGCTGCAGAAGCACCGGTACAAGGTGAAACCTTCATGTTCACCGGGCAGTTGTCTTTACCTGCTCTGCGTAAACTCACCATCACAATCCTACAGGAGGATGATGAAGGTGGAGCGTGCACAGTTGCTCCCCATCTAATACTGACACTGACTGAACTCCCGCTTACACCTTCACTGAAGTCAAGCTCCCGACTACTACTGCTTATGTTCCACTGTAAGAAAACAGGGACTCTGTTTTGACCGCATATTCTCGCCCATCATAACATTTGCTTTGAGAAATGAGGCTTCAAATGTTACATGAGAGACAGATTACTCACATAATCTAAGAAGGAAACCTTGAGTGAATCTCCAGGAGTTGTTTTCAGAGATAACACGGCTACTATTGTTGTCCCTCAGTGTGTTGTGCCGCCAAACTGAAATAATGAACCTTGATGATGCTGATATTACCCTCACATGTCTGAGTTTTGAATTTTATTGTTGCATTAAGCTTTAGAAAATAATTCGTTTTGTTAGATTTAATGCAATAATTGCAATTATGCAGTGTTTGTGCAAACATTCAGCATGTTAATGTCATCATGGGACTCAATGTGTGGCTTAAAATAACCTGTAACTTGCAGCATTCAGAAGAGGGAAGGTTAGAAGATGTCAAAATTCAATTAGTACGATGGTTTGATGAAGACAACTACAGAAATAGGCCCAGATCCATAAATAATACTGTACATTTTATTCCTGACGCTCTGAGAAAATGAAATAATATTCCCTTCCCCAGTTCAGCTTACAAGATGTGACAAGATCCAGCAAAACAGAAGAAAAAAAAAAAACACACGCCTGCAAGTTATGCATTCAAAGTTTTCTCCGTTCGATCTTGGCTGGAGATGTTTCAGGAAAGCAGAGCCTCGGGGCACAGATTACAATCGCACGCATTTCAAAGTAAAGCAGCAGCAGTACTGTGTTTCTACCACAAGCCGCCCGCTGCATTTTTAACATTCACGTCTCCATGCAAATGGATTCACCTCTTCATTCCATACATTCCTTCACCATCACTTGTCACGACAACCGAATCCAATCAATTGCACCAATCGCTACAGTCAATTGATAAACACTGTGCTCTAATAGCTGCATGAGAAAAGAGCTTAGAGTCTGATCTCTGAGCTTTTTCTGTGTCTGACATTTCTGTTGTTGCTTCGACCAGATGGACGACATTGACGCCATGTTCAGTGACCTGCTGGGGGAGATGGACCTCCTCACTCAGGTAAGCTCAACCAGTTCCCATGACAACTGTGTAATCTTATTTATCTAACATGTTTAGTATTTATCATGACTTACTGTTAAATACATTTAAATTTTTTATTTGAATTAAATAGAAAATAAAACTCATTATTTTAAAGTGAATATTACAGAATAGATGATTCAGAATCCTATATTTACTTTTGGCGGGAACGTACATTTACTTTTTCAGTATCACTTCCTGTCAGAAATATGTTATTCAAATATTTCAGGCAGAATTTCAGCATTTCTTCTGCAAAGAAAACCCCCTTTTTTTTTGCTAAGTGCATCAGATGCTCTTTGTTTGAACAACTAAAATACAATTTGTGCCTGAAAGGAATTATACAGGGCCACATCTTAACTGCTGCACATTTTCTGCAGACTTCCCAGGGTTAATTCCAGTACCTTAAATAGACTTTTCTCCCTCAAAGACATATGACAAACCCACTAAAACCCACCATCGATCACCGGGACACTCTAGACTGGCAAGCACAACAGACACAGCGGGGGGGAACTCTTTGTGGTCATCTAACAACCATAAATTACATTTTCTTTTAGAGGGGAGGTCAAATGGCAAACGCGTGAGCCAGCAAGAGATGACACATTTCTTTCTGAGTGGAAAGCCCTGCTGATCACTTTGATGTTGTTTTCCGGGCCACCAGTCATTTTAAAATCACTTCCCCGGGGGATGAGGTCCAGTTCATATCACACAGAAGCCCTGTTAGGTGTCATACGTGGAAACAGATGTAACATTAAAAGTGTAAATGTTGTACTTTCTCGTATGATATTTGGGGACTGTTTATGTTTCAGTGAACTCAGAATGTGTTGTGCATTAACTCTCTGAGCCTCTCGGGGTCCAGTGCGTGTTGTACAGACATTATATTCATACTCTTATAAACACACCGCCTTGTTCATTGTTTCCTGCAGAGCCTGGAACAGGAGGCAGGACCTCCCGAGCCTCCCCCCCCCACTAACAAGGAAGTCAACTTCTCAATCGGCTTCACCGACCTGAATGGTGACTTAACACTTTGTCCGCCATGAGTGAAGAAACACCACAAAGAGAAGGGTGTTGTACTTCTGCAACACGTTTCCTATAAAACGCACTCATTGTATGAGGATCTATCACATATCTAATATCAGTTTTAGGAAGTTGAAAATGAAGGTCACTACTATGAAAAAGGCCCATCTGAGAGAGTAATAAGTGTAAAAACTCAGAGTGACTGTTGCTGCAGAGTCGGGCATCACTTCAAACAATGCTGTACGTGTCAGACCCAAACAGAGGAGCCAGTAAAATAAAGCATAAACTACAAAAGAACAAAAAACAAAAGAAAACAAAGTCAACAGAAAAACACTGGAAACCAGAAACAACTGCAGAACAGCTAAACTGAAAAGAACATTAGAAACAAAGACTCTGGGAACACGACAGCAAAAGACAAACCGAAGCACAGAGACTTATATCCACAGGGATGATTGAACACAGGTGAAACACATGAGGAGCAGGTGCAGACAATAACGAGGGAGGGAAACAGGACAAAGACAGGAAATAAAGCTACAGACTCACAAAATAAAACAGGAAACTGAGAATGTGGTTTATAATGATGTAGATGAAATGTTAAGGGATCACCAAATTATAAATTCTGGTTTAATCATGGTTAGTTAGTAATTTACTCAATGAATAAGCACAGCAATTGTTTAGCTCTGCCTAATAGTACCAGCAACGTTTATTGCAAACAGAAGACAAGGGAAGATGAATGCGTAATGGAGTTATTGCATTACTTCATCAAAACAAAACAAAAAAAGGAACTTGTAAATGAAAAAGAAAGTTCTAAGTGTTTAGAAGAAACCCAATTACACATAAAACTGTTACTGTAACAATAGAAGTATTCTTTGTTCATAAATATACACACTTGAGTTTTTTTTTTACTAAACTGTTTCTGCTTCTAACACCAGAGTCTCTCCATGAACTGGAGGATAATGATCTGGATGCGCTGATGGCTGATTTGGTCGCTGATCTCAATGCGACAGAAGAGAAACTCGCAGCAGAGATACAAGGTCTGACGGTGCCGTCGCCGCAACCAGCGGATCTGCCGCTCAAAGGCCTGAGCTCTCATGCGTCGCCAGTTTCACCAGCATCTCCAGCGAGCAGCACAAGCAGCAATGTTAGCACCTCGGCCACCTCCCCTCTACCACCTCCGCCCCCTCAGGCTGCAAAGCCTACAAAGGTGTGTGTCGGTGCGGTCACAGTCTTTCAGCGCGATAACAGTAACTTCTGTTAATATATTTTAACCTCTATACAGCCTGTAGCTGGTCAAACATTTAGGAAGTGAGAGTTTTATCAAGGTTTTTCATAATAATAAAAGTATTTCAGAACAAATCTGAAAAAAGAAAACTTCTCTGCGTTGCTATACTGCTTATATGAGGAAGAGGGAATAGTTACTGATGACGAAGTGCTGTCTAAGCCATTCGTGACAAGACAGTATTACAAAACCCAGCGTATATATTTCTGGTCCTTTTCATCTTTGTGGAACCGCTAAGAGTGGTATTGCTCTTACAGCAGTTGGGCGGTGAGATCATGACGAAGTTGTTCCTGGGCTGAGGCATCTGTTACAGTTAGTATCTGAGGTGAAACCGTCTGGAACAGATCAAACACGAGGCAGGAAAGAGAAACAGGATCAATACCTCAGGTTGGAATAGGGGAGGTAAGATGTGGAAGTGTTCAGGGGGGTGAAACCAGACAGGAGCTTATTGCTTTAGCAGAGATTTGTTACCTCATCCTCCTGAAGTAAAAGCACCAGCTGTGCTGAGGCAGTGAATGCGTCATTGTTAGGTCGAGCCGTACAACTTCATTTAAACTGCGCTGTGGGCAGGATTCTTTAAAATCTAAAACCACACCTGACGTGTGGTCCCTGCTTAATCCAGTTATTGTGAATTTACAAATTAAATTCTTGAATGAAACTAATGAGAATGGGAAGCGTCTCCTGAGCAGGACTGAGATGCTACGGCCACAGAAATGGAGACGCCAGATTTTGCTCCTCGTTTACCCGAAACACTTTTTATGGATTCAAAGCAGTACCTCCAAATTTGCAAATAATTCTCATTAATTTTACTACTGAGAGTTAGATGAGAAGACTGATACATCTGTGCAATAAATGTAAAGGTATAAGCAAGCAATGTGGTTAGCTTAGCATAAAGAGCTAAGCATGGCTTGAGTCCCAAAACAAAATGCATCTACCAGCTAATGTAAGGCAATCTTAGATTGGAGGAAATGCAATTGAAAATCTATTCTTCACTATAATTCAGCTGTCTCATTAAATGCTATTGTCTTATTTAGGAGGAAATCGAGGCGCAGATGAAAGCAGACAAAATCAAACTCGCTCTCGAGAAGCTCAAGGAGGCTAAAGTGAAAAAGGTAAGATGACCAATATCAACATCCGCTGCCAACAGTAAACTTAAAAGAGATTTTGACTTACGGCTACGAGGACTTCACTGTAAAAGACGTAATGTTCAATCATAGCTCGGCTGTTTGTGCTTTTGAAAACAAACCATAAATCGCAGTAAATGGTGACGACGTTCAAGGAACCAATGTCGTGCTGAACTGCACAGTTTCCTCTGTGGGTGATATGTGGTCACTCTCAAATTTTCAAAGCAGCACACAAAAATGGAAACATGTTTTAAAATGCAAAGCTTCACCTCAGGGTCTGTATTTTTTCATGGATGTTATGATAGATAAGGTGTTTTAGACTTCCTCTCTTGGTGCAGGTGGAACCATCCTAGTGGCCTGTTTCCTTAAGATATAAGGAAAGATATAAATGATATAAAATCTAAACGGAAATGGCAAAAAAAACCTGCAACTTTCAGAGGAACATCTGTCCCAGCTGTTTGACACAGAAGAGCAAGGTGCACTCTCGGTGGTTTGGGCAGAACGTTATTTTTTCAAGTTTCAGGGAAACCACTGGTTTCCCATGGCTCATGTATTTTTGAAGATACCTTGCATGAGGAAGTACGGTAAAGAATAATTTGCCATCCAGTGAAAGTTTATTCAACCAAACTCCAAAACCATATTGTGTTGAAGGCGAGGTCGAGACGGAGGAACATGTGGGCTAACGCTCTAAACCCTCCTGCGATAACATCTCTGAAAACTCACATTTTTTTGGCACAATGCGAGCGACTGGCTGACCTTGGTTCTGTGAAACTGCTAAACCCTCCAAATCTGGATTTGTCTCCAGATGAGAGGAAGTGTGAAGCCATATGAGCCCGTGAGGAAAGCGCTGGTCTGCTCCAGAGCAAAATTTATTTCAGCTTGGGAGGAGCTGGAAGTACGAAAGTGCCATTGAGACACAAGTGGCAGTGGTCGGCCTCCTCCGGTGGAACTAACATTAACAGGCAGAAACAGCTATTTAGTGTTTGTATCCTGTAATTTAACTGGAAAATAAACAAGTTGCATGTGTGTGGATTCGATGCGTCACTGCAGAGAGAACTGCTGCTGCTGCTGCTGCACACACAACTTTTAACTGCACTCACACAGACACACAAAACCTCATGTTGTGACTGGAACTTTCTTATTAATTATCTCTGACACTTCACAATCGTCCCCGTAAACAAGAGCAGGTAGGAACCAAAAGAAAGGGGAATTTAAGATCAGTAAGAAAATAAATAAGGAACCTAAATGCACATGTTAATAAATACAAATGATGTGATTGTTATATTGATTGATAAATATACATATGAATAAATAGCCATTATATGAGCAATTTCTAATATTGCATTTGTTTGAATTCAAATGTTTTCCGGACAGTTGGTGGTGAAGGTGCTGATGAACGACGGCAGCTCTAAAACCCTGATGGTGGATGAACGGCAGACCGTCAGGGAGGTTCTGGACAACATGTTTGAGAAGACTCACTGCGACTGTAACGTGGACTGGAGCTTGTGCGAGACAAACCCCGAACTGCAGCTCGGTGAGTTACCGCAGTAAATATATAGTGATACTGTGCAGGGGCACGACTGGGTTTTTAACCTGGGAGGTAACAATAGCACACAGGCTGAGGAGGCTTTATGACCAATGATAAATCTATCAACAATCACCACGGCTGTAAACGTGCTGCCACCGGCTGATGTAGCACCAGACTCATTCTGTGGTTAAATATTTTCAGGTGAGGAAATAAAAGAGGAACAGAACGTGATGCAATTCCAGGATTAGTTTGAGATAAATCTGCTCAGAACTACCAACATTATTTTACTGACGGAAAGATGTCTTCAGACCGGGGACACTGCTTTGATGGGAAGTGATTTCTGGGTAATATAGTGCAGGAGCGCTACAGCAATAAGCACTAACTGAGCAGCAGATATATCAACAGAACAAGAAAAACACAGCAGCGGTAGATTTCAGCTTTAACAACATAAGCCCTCAATGTGTTTTTATCTGAACTGTCAGCTAAACACACACACACACACACACACACACACACACACACACACACACACACACTGAATGTACAGGCGGGGATTTTTCATCCTGGTCCAGATGATGGACTGTGTTTTTATTGGCATGACGGCCACACTGCAGCGAGCTCACAATGAAACACTGATCTTTCTCCCATTCATCTCCCCCCTCCTCTCTTTCCTGCAGTCTCTCTATCACTCCCTCTGTCACACACACACACATGCGTACAGTGTAGACAGGTGGGTTTAATTTGTTGCGTCGGACACTGTCAGTCATCCTCCCTGTCATGTGGAAATGGGAGCCTTATGATCTCAATCCTCTGTCTGAGCGCTCGGTGCTATATTTACTTCAGCTGCCGGCCTCAGATTCTGCAGCCGTTCATTACCATCTGGTTTCTCTGTTTTCTAACAACTTCATCAAATTGTTGCAGAGCTGAATTCATTTCTTTTTTTTTAAAGAAACAGTCTTATATGTCACAGACAAGGGGTCATTGTGCTCCATGGTGAAAGGGTTTTAATGAAACACTGGTGGTAAAATCATTAACCTCTGCGAGCAACAGAACTTAAGCCAATGTTGTTTTGCTTAAAAATTATATTCAAGTAATTTTATATGCAGCTAAGTTAAACTGTGACGCACTAAATTAGAGGATAAGCCAAGAAATATTGGGCTTTTTTCTTATTTTAACTAAATCTGACTAAAACCAAGGTATGTGTTAATTCATTTTGCAAAACTTCCCTAATCTGTCTGTGCACGACTCCAATGAAAGTAGAAATAAATTCACAGTTACGTGCTATAAGTTTCATTTCCTAAAACATCTGAGCTCTGACTCAGTTTTCATATTTGTTATTTTCAGTAGCGGATAAATACATTGACAGTTTTGGTTATTATGACAATAACATAGATTATCTGTCTGATTAAATATACAGAAAACATTTACAGATTTACCTTTTGGATGGACTGAGTCTGTAATACTGTTTATGACAGAGGGCTCCTGTGCTGTATCCTCACGGTGTCTGAATAATCAGACGAAAATTCACTTGAAGTTCCGCCTCAACTAATAAAACAGGCAAATATTATTAAGCGGCGTGGATGTATATGAATTCTATTACACAAACAAAAACCTTTTGTGTAAAGTATCCAGGATTTTTCCTCATTGGGCGCATGAACACAACGTATAGTCGGAACACCGACTTTACAGTTTGGGAAATGGGACCTTCCGACGAGCGTGTGAATGCACAATTAAACACTGTAGGATTCCAATCAATGCTGTAGATAGATCTTAAAGCTGCCTGTGCAAAAACAAATGAGGAAATGAGTGTTTCCCTTTAGTCAACACGGTTTATTTTTAAACGAATAATGTCCGAGACACAGATCTAACTTTAAATCCTTTTGTGTGTGTAACTTGACTCAGAGGCATCACGGACAGGGTCATCTCTGACTAACTGAGCAGCTTCACAATGGAAACTGTTCATTCATCGTTCAATGTGTGTTTTAATCAATAAAAAAAAAGTCCAGGGCTCTCGGAGCGTAGTAAACACCCACGGACCTCGACAGCATCAAACAAATCTTGATCCAGCCACGTGTTCGCCATCCACTCCAGCGCCGCGACACACTGTGTGGTTAATGGACTTCAAAGGGAGTTTTACCCCTAATAACTCACTCCAGCAGAAAAGTCACACCATCCATTTAATGATTGTAATAGTCAAACTATGAACTGGAACACTGGCAGCAATTTATTTAATGCCTACCTCTGCCTCGGCTGGAAACCTGTAATTGGGGAGCGTGGCTAAACTCCAGTCAAATGCCCGGTACACGATTGAGATCTATGGCACCGATTGTGTGGGTGGGCAGAGGAGGAGATGGAAAGTACTTTTAATGTGTTTTCGAGCTTTGGTGCCATTTAAAGTTCTTCCAGCAAATGGGGAGGGTTGTATTTTATCGATCCCTTCCTTAATTCAGCCCATTTGAAATGGACAATTCCACAGCTGTGACTTGGAACCAGGCTCAGCCGAGTTAAAGATTTTGTGGCAGAGTGAAGTATGTCCACACGCAGTGCAAAGCTAAAACAGAGAATGTCAAGTGAGATTAAAGAGATTCTGGTTTCAACTATTTTGACTCATTCTGAGACAAAATGGAGGTATTTGTATTTTTCCAAATGTCAGAGTAGAGGAAGTCGTGTTTTATCTTGCAGAAAAAAGTTTTTTACGGCTGATCACAGAGCGAATACAGGCAGTACAGTACTGAACGTACGTGCAAAGTAAAATTTAGATGTACTTCATTCGAGTATTCCCACTTTAAGACCCTCGGCCGTGACAGTGACACCACTGGTCTTTTGTCTTTATGGCGTCTGAAATAACTTTTGTTATCATCACTCAAACAAGTGATCATTCATGGTCATGCGAATGAGGCTTGTCATTTCTCAGGAACAAAAGCAGAACTACAGTATTGCTGCAGTTCCTGAACCTCAACCAAATTCTTTTATTTTCCTATCGGGCACAAACTGCTTCCAAAGCAGAAATCCATTGGTCTCACAATAAAATCGTCACGTGCACTACGAGTGTTGATGGAGAAACTAAATCATTTAATGACAAAATTCTTATTTGAAGAGTTTTTTGTCCTGTAGTGAAGATGTGACTTGTTGACAGTGTTACTGAATATCACTTTGCAGAAGTTTTACACAAAACTTATACTACATTGATAAAAACAACGCCAACACCTAAAGATACTTAAAAATACTAATAAAACTTGTATTTCTACACGAGTACTTCGACACAGCCGCTTGCAGCCTATATGTTTAGCATTAATGGAACCATCAACAATTACACTGACACTGGATTGCAAACATTTCTATTGGATCATTTTCTCTGTCGACTAACACGTGCAATTAGGTTAATTTAAAATATGTGATATTCATATAGGTTTTAAACAATATGGCGTCAAGGCAATGATACGGATCCTATCATAATGACTTTACTGACATTTAGTTTGATTTCTTTTTGCAGAACGGACATTTGAAGACCATGAGAACCTCGTGGACCCGCTCCTAGCATGGGCGAGGGACACCGAAAACAAAATCCTCTTCAAAGAGCGTGGGGAAAAATTTGAGGTTTTCAAAAACCCACAGGTTTGTCCCCTTATTGCACACATCAACACTTTCAGGTCATTACATATTGTAGCTTGCGTACTGAGTGATCGGAGGGGATGTGCATGTGATATCTCTAAAGTATAGCACTGGCTAGTTCATTATTCTTGGCCTTGATTTGTGCAAATCTCTCTCCACGTTGTTTCAGCTCAGCGCCGTCTGGCTCTTTTCACTGCTTGTTTATTATGAGATGTGTTTGCTCCACGCAGGATGACCTCTTACATTTATGTCCTCGCTATAATATATCAGACAAAACAGCTTCTGGGAAAAGACGGAGAGATCCCGTCATGTTTGTTGATATAACGGATCCATTAATAATCTCAGGGTATTTAATGGACTTGGTCTGTTGGCAGAGACAAATAACCGGTCTGGAAACCTGGTGAGACATTCTCATATTTAAAACACAGCTTCAACTTTGGCGATGGAAAGATTTAGGCCCAAACTGATTTGAAATTAAACTCGCAGAGTAACACAGGGACAAAGAATCAGGGTTTGGAAGCACTGAGTTTCAAATATGTGCTGTTCTCACCAGCTACAACTTCTGAAGCCAAGTGCTTGTTATGTGTCCCTGTATGCGTCCCCCGTTTGTGTCTTTATCTCCTCTCCCCTGTCGCTCCACTCTCGTTCAACCAATCAGGCATCATGAGCTGCACCTGACCAGGGAACTGAGGTGCCTTTAAAAGCTGCTGCGTCAGGCTCAGGCTTCCAGCGTGAGGATGCTGGTTTCACTGTGTCTTAACCAGAGAGTTTAACGTTGTTTAATATGTCTGTTAATGTTTATAAATCCCATGGTTTGTGTTGTTCTGTTGTCGATTTGTGTCAGTGGTTGTCAGTGATTCACAAAAATCGGGTATTTCAATGACTGTGTGAAGGAACACAGATATTCTAATGTGCAAAACCATGAGTCTGCACTGAGGCACAGCAGCTGTTTGTGCTAAATGTTAATGTGAACATGTTTCTGTAATTACATTTTGGCAACTTGAGCTAGAGAGCGTTTATCTCTTTGAGTTAAATGCTCAAGTGAACCTGCTCCAGTAGTTTAGAAGTCACTTTGGCGTTTAGCTCTATTAACTAAAGTGACTTTACTATAACACTTTAAAAATGTCGATGTTTACACCATGCACAGTGAAGCGGAGGCTGACGGTAACACAGGAGGATTTGAATATTTGCACCAATGTTTGTGTTCAATAGCTGTTTAAACATTTCTCACAAAAAGATATGCTCCAGTTTCTAATGCTGACATGTTAAAAACTTCTAATAGCCATCAGTCGCACTCATTTATGTACTTTACGTTTTACTCCTGCAGAACTTTTATCTTTGGAAAAAGGATAAGAAAGCCCTCAAAGAAATAAAGGACAAAGACAAGGAGATATTAATAGAGGTAAAGAAACATGCACACAAACTCACCGGTGAAGGCAGTTTTCCCAGGGGGCGCTAATTTTCTCCTCTTCACCTCCTCTTTCATCCCATCTTCACGTCCACAGGAGAATTTCTGCAGGACGTCCATCATCGTGCCCGACCTGGAGGGGGTGCTGCACCTCAGAGAGGATGGAAAGAAGTCCTGGAAGCAGCGACTCTTCCAGCTGAGGGCCTCTGGGATTTATTATGTGCCCAAAGGGAAGACCAAGGTCAGGGGTCCAAAGACAAAAGACCAAACACCACATCCACTGGTTCTCTGAAACATTCATTCATGCTGGAGATCGAAATCCTGCACATGTGGACATTTTTTTTTTTGCAATTTCAAATGAAACACTGATGAAATGTAAGAGCAGTTTGTTCATTCCTTACCGGTCCTACGAAGATGTAGAGTTTTGTATTTCTACTTTATCAACCCCGCTCTCGCTTCATGCACGGCTGAATATAACTACATCTTGTACTCCCTGCTGGATAGTACATTCACTCGCTGTATATCTCAGATGTCTTAGCAGCTACTACTCCCATACACACCTCCACACAGTGTATTACTACTGCATCTGTACTGCAGATATTCAATTCAGTCGACACGAAAACCAAACCCAGAGATGCCACAGATCCCTGATGTAATGCGATCCTTCTTTTTATTTCTTTTTCAGTCGTCCCGTGACCTTGTTTGCTTTCAACAGTTTGACAACATAAATGTCTACTACGGCAAAGACTTCAAGACCAAATACAAGGCCCCATCGGACTTCTGCTTTGTTCTGAAGGTAAGCTGAAAATATGTTTTATCCATCAGTCAAAACCAGTCACACGTTTCACTGTGGAATTATTTTACAGAGAAGCAGCAACTTCCCTAAACTCTGCTATCAAACACAAACCGTGGTTTATTACTGGTTCACTGGTCCCTGCTACGATGGTTAACACAGAATAACGAAGCAGAAGATGGTAATGCTATACTGGAAACGTGAAAAGCAATAAATAGTTTAGTTTGAAGAAGTGAAAAGAGTTGAGTGAAGAAGTGGTGAGCTAGATGAGATTTAATGTAAAAAAAGTTACAGTAAAAGCACTTTGCATTTAATTAAGAGTACTTCAAAACTGAGAATATTAACAACGATGGGACGTACAGCGCTCGTTTGAGAGTGAGAAGTGCTGATGTGGAAATAAAGGAAAGAATTAGATGGGTTGGTGGGTCAGTTTTAAAGGGATGTGAAAGTCTGCCTTCTTTCCTTTCCCCTATCTCATCTGGGAAACACTAGAATCAGCAGATACCATTAGAGTAGATGGTGAGGATCAAAGTGAAAAGAGCTTAGAGAGGCAAAGAAACTGAATTGCCCACCGGTGAAAGAAACAGCCCTCAAGGTTTTAGACGGAGGGAGGAGGAAAAGGTGCGGTTTGTCCAAGGGCAAAGGAACAAGGGACTGTCGGCGTGGACGTGTTGGAAAACTATAGGTTTCACGCGGGTTCTTGTCCTCACAGTTCAGGCCTCGTACAGAACAAACTGCAGACTGTATGAATGTGATATGATGATAACTGATGTTAAATTAGGGTGTTAGGGCGTTTGGAGACATTACATGGGTGGTGTTTACGAGCTGACGGAAAACTGCTGCAATTTAAGCTTCAGCATTTAACAGTTATACTGAGAAACCGTCCTCATTATCTACAACTGATATCCTGACGTCATGAGGGAATTCAACATTTGACTCTAAGTCCTTTTAAAGTCCACGACATAGAAGAAATACTTTTGGAATCACTTTTCTCGGATAAAACCAACAAAGATGACGTGAGCAGAAAAACTCAAAACTCTTATTGCTCCTGATGCAAGCAAGATAAAAGTGCACGTGAAGATACGACTGTGTGAGATTCTGTTTTCTGCCTCTCCCTCTCTGTTTGTCTTCACTGATACTGACTGGATTATTTCAAATAACAGGAAATTAAAATCTATCTAACACTCTTGACTCTAGACTCACTCTGCCCCCTTGTGGCACCTTGTGATATCCTTAAGATCATCGAGGAGTAAACATTTTATTGAGTTGGTTTAGGCCCTTAGGCAGAGTCAATAGATTTTGTTTCCCTGTGCACTAATGAAATACAACACATTGCGTTTTAAACTGAATATGGTACAGTGCAGTTTTGAAACTGTACAATGGTGTCATAATACTTTTTGTCCCCCCAGACGCTACTTTGGTGTTTCATACTTGGATAGAAGGATGTAAATGTATCATGTGGCCTTGTTAGATTAAATACTTCTGGAGGGATCTGTGGAAAATATGTAAATAAATACATACATTTCATCTCTATCTCCAAAATGTAAAAACTGGTCAAAGCAATCCTTAATTAAAACATATTCAATCATGATAACACAATACACGTAATGTATCCTATACATAACTCTGCTGTGGCTGCAAGTAGTAATCATTTTCAGGATTAATCGTTTCGTCCATCAAGTGTCAGTAAATAGAGATAATTCGCCGCCTGACAGACTGTCACATATTCCCACAGGCCAAGGTGACATCTTTAAATTGCTTGTCTTGTCCCGATAACAGTGAAAACTCCAAATATGTTCAGTTGACGATCATCAGACTGACAAACGGCAGCAAATAGTTGCAGTCAGACACATGAGTATCAAAAAGCTGCTGTTTTAAAATGGTAAACTTGTTCTTTACCATGTTTGTTGTGTGGATTTGTCTGTGTAGCATCCTCAGATCCAGAAGGACTCTCAGTACATCAAGTACCTGTGCTGCGATGACGCCTGGAGCATGAATCTGTGGGTGACTGGAATACGGATTGCAAAGGTAAACTTGAACAACCGTGCTTTCAATAACAACATAAACTCAAGCAGAAGTCACGAAGGTCACGATCTGTGTTCCTCACACTTCCAGTACGGCAAGTCTCTGTATGAGAACTTTAAAACGGCCGAGAAGAAGGCAGCTGTCAACTCTGTGTGGATGAACCGCAGCACTCCCTCCAGCTCCAATCCATCGACGCCCTCGCCCACCATCAGAGGTAGAGCGACATGCGATCAGTGACGCGACCCAGATGTGTTAGTAACACTGCAACGTTTTTTTCTTGTTCATTACGTTCACTCGTGCAAAATTCTCTTCTTCCAGCCAAGTCACAGAGTCAGGCAAACGGTCACGCTCCCAAACCCGAACCAGGACCTGCATCCGAGGTGAGCAACTCCTCGTTACCTCATTAAGGAGGTTGTGTTTTCAACCTGAAACTTGGTGGAAGGCTGGGACGTGAAAGAAGTCATTCGATTTTGGCAATTTTATTTTGCTAATTAAATTGCTTCAATCATTTGATTTATATATATAAATATAAATATATATATATATATATAAAAAAAATATATATATATATATATATAAAAAATATATATAAATATATATATATAATGTGTGTGTATGATAATCAATATTTTCTGGTTTCAGCTTTGCAAATGTATTTGCTGTTTTTCTGTCACTCAATTTACACGACAAACGTTTAATTGAAAAATAATCTCACATTTATCCTCAGGACTTTGGAAGCATCCCACCTCCACCTCCTCTTCCTCCACCATCAGGCGGGTTTTTTCCTCCGCCACCTCTGGACCCATCATTCCCTCCTCCACCGCCTCCTTTAGCTGCCTCGAAACCCGCCCTGCCCCAGCGACAACTACCAACCAACTTCCCTCCACCTCCACCTGCAATGGACCTTCCTCCTCCGCCCCTGCCTCCGCCTGTCGACGACTCCTCAGAGGCACCACCAGACTTCCTCCCACCTCCTCCTCCTCCAATGTCAGTGAAATCCCTCCCATCTCCTCATCCATCCTTTGGTTCAATGCCACCTCCTCCTCCATCCTCTGGTTCAATGCCACTTCCTCCTCCTCCTCTGTCAGCGAAATCCCTCCCATCCCCTCCTCGGTCCTTTGGTTCATTGCCACCTCCTCCTCCTGCGTCAATGAAATCACTCTCACCGTCACCACCCTGTTTCAGGGGCATGGACCAGTCTATGCCTCCTCCACCACCCGACCCAAGCTTTTTACCACCTCCTCCACCTCAGCCAGTGTTCACAGGGGCTGGGGCTCCTCCTCCTCCACCACCTCCTCCTCCTCCTCCACCCTCTGCTCCTACCGCCGCCCCAAGAGGAGCAGCGCAGTCTTCTGGATCGTTGAAGAAGAGGCCTCCTCCTCCACCAAAGAGGACTACACCATCGCTGCATGGAGAAGGAGGAGGAGGAGGAGGTGGGGACTTGATGTCAGAACTGATGTTAGCCATGCAGAAGAAGCGTGGCGACCATTAGTCTGAGCAGGTCATTTGTGGAGAATAAATAAGAACTCTGTCGAACGAAGAGTAATTTAAAACTTAATCTGCATTTTCCATCCGCAGCTGTTCTAATGTCACATCTGGAGATCAATACACACATTGATCCACTTATCCAGAGCATTGTGGTGATTCATCTGTAGTCCAGCCTGGTAACTGTTTTAAAACTTGGTTAGAAATCAGTGACAGCTGTAAGAAAACATTCAATCTTGCTGCTGTCATCATAGTTTTTTTATAGAGTTGTATATATTGTCATGTTTACCTGGTAGAATACAGAGTGTTGTTATTTTTCAAATGACTGTCATCTAAATAAAAACTCCTGAACAAATCTCTTCTGATTCCTGGTGGCATAAGAAAAAGACAAACTGAACATTGTCTCTGACTGGACTGAATCTTTGGACTTGACTGACCTCTTTAAAATCTTTTCTTATCGTGATAACTGAACAGAACTAAAGTACAGGACCTAGTTTCCATGTTGTACCTCTGCTGTGTGTGAATACAGTGGAACTACACTGTAGATGAGCCTAGATCCATAAGAATGCAACAGAACAGCCTCTCAAAGCAGCATCTTCCTCTTTATTTCGGTGTCAAATAGACAAAAGGGATGGATACAATATCATCAGCTAAAATAATCTGATCTCTGTTGGTCACTGTATCCACACACACAGTGGGTTTTTCTCCGCAGACATTTTGGAGGAAATATGTTCCACTAACCTAACGCACGAAACATCAGGGAAAGTTGTGACGCCTTCATTTCAGTGTTTTGCTTCATCCACTCATGAGGAGCAGCTGACCTTTAACCTCTGAGCCCACGGCGGAGGTCTTGCTGCATAGCCCGCCTCCTCTGCAGTCTCTTGTGTAACAAAGGGAAAGGACAGGATGTGGTGCAGCAGCTCTACCTAGTGGGAGTTTAACGTCACAGCCGGTTAGAGTAAATAAACTGTAGCGACGTTTAAAAAAAAACCTGTCATCACTGATCTACGTACCTCAGAGAAATCATTCATCTCAGCTTTTCTTATGGCCGACTCCGCCATCCAGTTCCTCAGCACGTATCTGGGGTTTACATCTGTTTGAGAGGTTTTACAGGACGAGATGTTGATCTTCCAGGTTCTTCAAGTCTCAGCATCGTAACATGTCAGATATTCTGAAAGTGAATTCCTTATTCTGGTGCCGTGACTCCCAACATAGATGTAATCTTTCATCAACATTAATTTGAAGATTCTGTGTCTTACTTCTCATTCTGTTTTGACGATTCACATCACCATCACTTTGTCTGAGGAAAGAGGGAGAGACCAAGCCTTCAGTGAAACCTTTATTTCCAAACTAACACACGGTCTGACCTCTTTGTGCTCACCTGCTGATGCGGAGGAGGTACATGTTGAGCCAATCAGAGAAGTGCTGATGCCTTGATAAATCATTAAGAGCCCACATCTAATGCAAACACACCAAAATCAAAACATTGGCTTTTTGTGTGATATCCAAAAACAGAAATTATTATCAACTCTTTACGTAAATCATGTTATATTAAATGTAGTATTAATTAATATTAATATTAATTTCTGTGGTGTCCTGGAGGTGCAAATATTGTAACGTCTCTTATTTGTCACAACTCTAAAATGAAATCTAGAAGCAGAATTTTAACACTTCAGCTTCTACCTGTGTGAAGTTCTTATTGTGAAGCTGCAGGTGTGAAACTTCACTGAGTTGTCTGAAGGTCATAGTGAAGTCTGACTCTGTGTCCTCCATCATCTGGGAAGACCAACACAAATTATATTGAGAGTTGGGGGGGAAAAAAACACCATTTGCACAGAAGCAGTTACCAAACAATGAATTTAAATTGACTTTGCAAATGACTCGCCTGAAGCAGGAAGGGAATAAGGTAAGTATCTTCTTCCTCTTCACCAAGAAGCCCCAGTTTCGCTTTAAATATCTGGTGAATCCTGAACAAATAAGTTTAAATAAATAACATTATTATAAGTGCCATGGGTTGAGGATGAGGATGAACACGTGGAACAGACAGATTCACATGGAGCTCACCTCATCTGGTAAATATCCGCAAATCCTTTTAAGATGATTTTAGCCCTGAAAACAGAAAGGGATGAAGGTTAGCAATTCAATTGTATGAGAGAAACTTGTTCTTTGAAAACATGCAGATGTGAAAACCTTTATTTTACAGAACAAATAAAGCAGAAAAGATGTGCATGTTTTTTTCCACTGTTGGCTAATGGAGATCAATATAAGTCACTTAAAGCCTCCATAAAGCAAATTAACTGCCCATCACAAGTTTTCTTACTCTTCCTGCTGTTTATGTGTAAACACAGGACTGAGAGCACTGAGGAGCTTCTCCAGGTTGAACAGTCCGACGTCGGCCTGAGCTCCTATTCTGTACCTGCCCTCATCATCAGACGTGTTTGGGATGAAATCTGCAACGTTACAGGTCTTTTTGAATTTTGTGAAAAACCGAGGCAGTGAGATGTTTGAATGAAAACTGAAATATATGAAACACACTGGGGTCATACGACTCCATGAAGCCAAACGGTCCATAGTCGATGGTGATAGACAGGAGACTGAAGTTGTCTGTGTTGCACACACCTGTTAAAAGGCACATGATATATATATATATATATATATATATATATGAGTAAATGTAAATACAAACATTGTGGTAAAATGTTCAGCCAGAACAGATTCTTACCATGTGCAAACCCAACAGACATCCACTGGGCAATCAGATGTGCTGTTTCATTTACAGCCGTGGAATAAAACACCTACAAATACACAGAATTCCACAGTACGTCATTATACATGTACATGGGTGTACTGAGAGAAACTGTATTCATGTTACTCACCAAATATTTATCAGGGTCATTTGAACTGACTGAGGGAAAATGTTCATCAATCACAAAGTTCAGCAGCTTCCTGAAACCAGCAGACAATTAAAGATTGTTATTCTGCAGTAAACTGGAATAGAAAGATAAAGATCAGATAACACTTATGTTTATATTATATCATGTGACCAGTATCACCTCAGAAGATCCATCTCTCCACTTTGAGACAAAATTTCTAACGATCCAATCCGAAACCACGACTTTGCTAACCGCAGAACGACAGCTCCTGGAGTCAAACACAAAATGTTGAACTTATAATTCAAAACATTTTGGAAAGAACAGTGTAAAATATCACAATGTAAAGCATGTAATGAGAAATTAAAGGAAGCTTATACTGAGTGAAATCTAGGTTTTGCATATCTTGTCTGTACCTCTCTCTGTCTTCATGTTGCCATTGTAGAACTGATCCCTTATCACCGGCTCCTCGCTCACAATCAGACTGAAATAAAGCAAGAAGCTATCAGATTCACAACAGGAAACATTTCTACTCTGTGTTTCAAGGATTCAGATTTTTTCTGCTCTTTCACAGGAATCAAAAATAATGAAGCACTGCCTGTTTCATTCATCAGTGTTGATCTTACCTGGCAGCTCTGCTGGTGGGAACACCCAGGAAATGCATCGCCTCGCTGCACAGGAACTCTCTGACAGAAGAGCGGATCACAGCTCGACCATCTCCTGACCTGGAGAAACATTCAAAAATGAAATTTCTTATGATAGCTGCACGATTTTTGTATATTACATCTGAGTTAATATACGGTAAATAAAATGTACAGAGGAAAAATTAGGAAAAGAAACCTTGAGTATGGAGATTTTCCAGAGCCTTTAAGCTGCAGTTCCCATTTTTCTCCCTTACTATTAAATGGAAAAATGTCATAAGGAAAATAAAACATGTAAAAGTTTTAACTGGCAACGCAACTTGAACATCAGTAATTGAAGCATGATTCAAAAACCTTCTCACCTGTTGGAATACTGACCAAGGAAGTGTGCCCGACCATCCCCCAGCTGACCTGCCCAGTAACCAAACTGTTGGGGAGGGAAAAGGAAAAAAACATACAAATCTCAGGGACACCAACTGTGGTCAGATTTAACCTCAGATCATACACAGCTACTGATGAGTTTATTCTCAGGGGAAAAGATTTCAATGAACGTTTACCTGATGACCCCCGTATCTGTGTGCGAGAGGCACGGATCCTGACAGCAGCCGGCCCCCACTGGCATAAAGCAGGTAATCATCGGACTGCGTTACAGCCACATCTAAATCTAAGTTCCCCTCGATGACATCCTGCTGAGACAGTAACCGATATAAATTCATTTATATTATTTCATGGTGAAATTTGGGATGCGGCTGATGACACTACATCACCACCTTAGAAACTGCTGCCAGTCTCAGCGGCCCTTTCAGAGAAGTTGGGATGGATTTGGAAAACATGCAGTTCTTCACAGTGTGAACAAAGTCTCCGCTGACCTCCTCAATTGGGAATGCTTCTGCAGAGGGGACATGAAAAATGACATTACTCCGGTTCTGTGCCTTTTTTTTTTTTTTTTTTTGCACTGACCTACAAAACCCAGAATGAGGTTTACCGATTATCTTCTTACAGGACACTCGGAACTGGTCCAGGTCCTGAATGAGGTTTGAAACAGTTGCGTTCCACCTGGATTTGACAGAGCGTTGGGACGACCGACTGTTTGATGCTGCGTCTCCATCACTGAGACAGTCTGGTCCATCGCTGTGACAGAACTCCAGCACATGTACAGGTGTGAAACCTGATGCTGCAGCAAAGACTAGAAGTCTGTAGATACTCCACATGTCCAAAGGAAGTGCAGTACTTGTCAGAGTTAGTGTTAAATACCAATAAATGTCAGTACTCAGGAAAAGTACACGCACCTACAATAGTACTTGAGTAAACGTACTTAAGTATTTAATGTAAACAATTCATGAACCTAAGTTCACTTAAGATAAAAACTAAAGTAAAACACAAAGTATCACAGTTATACTGAGTAAATTAAGTAGTTTAGTCGATTCATTCGTGAAAATGTCCCAATAAATAAAAGTTAGCTGTTCTGAAAACACTTGCGGCTAGTAGTTCTGTTAAATGTTAGCTAACAGCTGTTAGCCTGATCCCAGACACAACCAGTTGGATGTTTTCTGGTGGAAACAACTATCATGTGAATCTACTGCCGGGTTTCTGATTTCATATAACTCCTGTTTAAGGAAATGAATCATGTTTTAACTCGTCTGTCGCCATCAGACCGCCGTGTTCACTAACGCCGCTAACGCTACTTCCGTGTTACGCGGCGTCATCAACCGGCGCCCGCTGTTCAGCTTCCGGTTCCGCTCGGAGGTGTCACCCGAAGCGGACGCGTGCGCTGCGGCAGCGGGTGTCATGGCGGGTCCGTGGTGGATCCGCTGTCGGAGCTTGGGCACAAACTGTACGAGGGCGGGTGTGATAGAAACCCTGCGGCGTGCGAGCGGCAGGTCTGCGGCTCTCTGCGCGTCCTCCCCGGGGCCGGCGTGCTGGAGCTCCGGGCTCGGGAGCGAGGTGAGTGTAGCGGCCGGGCGGGAGGACACCGGGGCGGGGAGAGAGTGGCTGTCAAACTCGGGAAGGTCAAACATGCAACCGAGGCTCCGGCGGGTTCCGGTGACCGGTGCTTTAATCCGCTTCTGCTCCAGTGTCCGTTTCGCAACAACCGATTTCATAAGTGCGTGTGTTCTTGTTTCCCGTGTTACGAGACGTTTCCTGGAATGAGTCGTGACTTGTTGAGTGAGAACATGTTGAACTTCTGCTAAAGGTCAAGATCCGAACCTGAGATCCTTCACTGAGATCTGACCTCCAGTCAGCTGACCAACACACACTCACCAGGGCCTGAGCGAGTTCACGTTTTATTTAGATGTTTCTATCCCAACATTCATTCATTCATTCATTCATTCATCCATGTGTGTGCTGTTCCAGACTTCCACAACAAAACACTGAATTTGAGAAAATTCTAATAAATCTAAACATTTCAGACCTGGTTCACATATGCACAACATAAATATATGTCTAATACTACTGATAATATTAATATCAATAATAATTATTGAAGAAAAATAACCAAAACTTGATGCAGATATTGTTTAAATTATTCAGATTGTTCAAGTTGTATTATAGCAGGCTACTGTTCACGTTATTAAAAAAAAAACCTCGATACACAAAAATATACTAAAACAGACAAAAGCATAAAATAGACAGAATCGTATGGAATTCAGAAGCAAAAGTTAATAATAGAAAATATGTTTTCTTTTTATATATGAAAGCTGCCGGGAACTTAATTCTTAAAATTGGTCCATACAATACACATTGTGCAAGTTGTCATCTATAGAATATAAGTTATGTTTCTAAAATCGATGACATGATCTCAGTTTGACAGATTAGTATATTAAATTATTACTAATTAGCATTTGTTTGATTTGCAGCCGGTTCCTGAATTTATTCGTCTCTTTGCTCTTTTTACTTTCAGGCACAGCCGTCGTCATCCACACAGACAAACCTGAAAATATTCAACTTTACCTCATCTCTGAACAGGTGAGTTGTGACCAGAAGCCTTGATTCTTACATGATATATTCTGATGTGTATGATTCAGTGTATTTTAACGTCTCTCTCTTCAGACACAAGTCACGGTTGCTGTGTCCCACACTACATCTGTGCTGCAGCAGAACGATACACAGCGACGCAAAGGTCAAGGACCCGTTCACGTTAGCCCAGAAAGACCTGACGAGTTTATATGACGATATCAAGAAGGTGTGTTTGTTTTTCAGCTAAAAGTATCGATCAGTCAAATTTGCATTTGATTTGACCGTGCAGCTGCAGTGACAGTTCAATAACAGACAGTGATTGAGTTTGTGTTGAAACAGACGCTGGTTAAAAAATGACCTGGAGTCATTTCACTGTCACATGGTGTTTGGCAGATGTTTATATCAGACATTTTCACAACTTCTGTTTACAGGAGCTGTTTGTGTCTAAAGAAGAGCTGAAGTTTCTATGTGATTACTACTTCGATGGAAAAGGAAAAGCAATCCGACCCATGATTGTAGTTCTGATGGCGCGGGCTCTCAACATCCACAGCGACCGAGCAGGGTGAGATTTTATTTCAACACAATATGTTTAGTGTTTTCACCAACTCACCCACAACTGACCTTTGATACCGTGAAGATGCACCACACCTTGTTAAAGGATCTTTAAAATTGTTAAGCATGAATCATCCAGGGTTTTATTTCGTCTCACTTCCTGGAATCTGTCGTGTCCCCTGCAGAGATCTGCTCCCGGGGCAGAGGGCCATCGCCATGATCTCAGAAATGATTCACACTGCCAGTCTGGTGCACGACGACGTCATAGACGGGTCAGATAAGCGCCGTGGAAAGGGAACGATCAATGATGTGTGGGGTGAAAGAAAGGTAACTGGTGTGAAATGAAACCAGCTCAAAATAACACTTGTTTTTATTTGAAGATGTGCATATATGAGTATGTGTCCTCTCTTCCAGGCGATCTTGGCTGGAGATTTCATCCTCTCAGCCGCCTCCATGGCGTTGGCTCGTATTGGTAACATCACTGTGGTTAAAGTTCTGTCGCAAGTCATAGAAGACTTGGTCAGAGGTAAAGTAAAGAACTCAAATTACTGAAAGATTTTACAACTGTATTAACCATTTATGTACATTAAGAAGTATATTGTCAAAACCCGTCCTGCTTCCAGGGGAGTTCATGCAGCTGGGCTCCAAAGAGAACGAGAACGAGCGATTCAAGCACTACCTCGAGAAAACTTTCAAGAAGACGGCGAGTCTCATTGCAAACAGTTGTAAAGCAGTATGTACGTTCTGTCTCCACACAAATAAAACAGACATGGAGTGAAGACTCAGTTTCTGCATGTAATTATTTTTGTTGACTGCCTGTCCTGATCTTTCTTTAAGGTTTCCATTCTGGTAAACCCTGATCCTGAAGTTCATGAAATCGCCTTCCAGTTCGGCAAGAATGTCGGCATCGCATTTCAGGTACGTTCCGATGTCGTAGCAGCTTGACTGTTTATTTCTGTTCTGTCTTTACCTGATAAATCACATCAGCTATATATAATTTATTTAATCTGTATTAAACATCTTCAAATGAGAAACAACAGAATCTTCTCAGGTGGAAAATAACATCAAATCATTTTAGATGCCACAAACCTATGACCAACTTTTAAAAAGTTTACTTATTAATCAACAAAAATGTTACAATTTAATAATTCAATATTATTTTGAAGTAGCTTCTCATTGTTTTAATTGTTTTTAAGATGTAAACCCAGTTGAATGAAATTAGATGTCAGTGTTACAGAGTTGTGAGTTTCTCTGTGTGTCCGGCAGCTCGTGGACGACGTGTTGGACTTCACATCAGGAGCCAGTCAGCTGGGGAAACCTTCAGCCGCAGATCTCAAACTGGGTTTAGCCACTGGACCAGTTCTGTTCGCCTGTCAGCAGGTCAGCGATCATTTTAAACTGGTTTTCACTGAACCTGAACATCGAAATCATGTAACATACATCATGTATGAGCGTCTTTACCCACAGTGTATGTTCCTGTTTTCAGTTTCCTGAGCTTCATGCGATGATCATGAGACGGTTCAGCTCTGATGGAGATGTAGATCGAGCCTGGAAATACGTCCTTCAGGTAAAAAGTGTAAAAGTTTGACAAGTTTATTTTTTAAAATGCAGATTAAAGATGTTCCAAACATTTCTAATAATTTTTTAGTCACAGATGGTTAAATCCTCAAACTACAATGGCCGAGCTCAGTCCTCCGCCCAACAATCATCCTAAATTCACTCGAGCCAAATAACTCAGTCAGACAACACCGGATTCTTTTTCACCGTCAATCATTCCCTGGGAAACTGGTGAAAATGTCAAGACACTTTATGCCCCATCTTCTTCTCTGTCTGTCTTAGAGTGACGGCGTGGAACAGACCAACTTCCTGGCCCGGCGCTACGGTCAAGAAGCCATCAGACACGTCCGTATGCTCCGGCCGTCCCCAGAGAGAGACGCCCTCATCAGGCTCACTGAGATGGTGCTCACCAGAGACAAATGAACCTCCTGTGCCCGGGGCTTCACTTCAGGCAGCTACCTGCGGAAAAGCAAACTCACCCCCACCCCCGTGAGTCTGCACAGGCTGGGACGAAGACGGCAAGAGAGAGAGAAAGAGAGAAGCGATGGACATTTGGTTCAGAGGGACCCCTGCTGCTGGTTTTTGTGCCAAATGAAAATGGCAGTGAGCTCGATTGTGTCCGAGCAGTTGATCAGAATCACGGGATCAGAACGGCACTCGGGGGTCTTGTCTGAACTGACACCTGTCGTTTCATGACTCGACATAAACTCTGATAATATACACACGAGGGTGAGTCACCTCGTAATGCTTTGTCATATAAATACACACGTGCACATCCTTTAGATTTCAGGTGGAATCAAAGAGATGGTTTTGAAATTAAGCTGAAAGCAACACTATGTAACTGACTGAAGTACAGCGCCCCCTGCAGCCACACACGATAAAGTGTTTTTAACTGATCTCCAGTTCAGCTTTACTCTTCAACCTGCTGGACCTGATTCTGACAATTGAAGTCATTTCCACACTCCTCACAGGGAAACGTACTCACTCACCACGGTTACATAGAACAGACGTCCAGGGTGAGTTGAGCGAATGAAAGAGGAAAAATTCAAAAAATTTGAAACATCAAATTCCTTCTGAAGCTGCTGTTTTAAGGTAAAGTTTCATAGTGTTGCTTTAAATCACCGGATGCCACCGCATCACAGTACTGTACCTGCGGCCGCCTCCCACGCCTCAGTGTGGGGTTGCTGCAGATTCTGTTTAATTCTGTTTAATTCCAAATAAGATGCATAATCGTCAGCGGGAGTTCGTCCGGATCCGTCCGCACCGTGAAGGCCAAACAGTCACATCTGGTTTTTTTGACTTAAGTGTTCTGAGGAAACTTCTGTAAAGCAAAGTGCCGTTTTCCAACCCAGGCCTTAACATCTGGAACGACCGTGTGCTCAATAAAAACCAACAGTTTTTGTTTTTTATTTAACCCGTCGCTCTGTCTCGATTCCTCCGAGTGACCACACGTGCATGTCGTACATAGAATTGTTTATTATAAAAGACTGTACATTAATTTTTCAATCATTTCGTATGTACAAGTGAAGGGCAGACAGAGATCTCAATATTTCTACCCATGAAATTGAGCCGGAACACTTTAATAATTGGAAATAACACAAATGGGTAAAACATGAAGGCTTCAGCTGCGAGATCATGTTAGATGAGTGTTGGCGGGCAAACAGGAGAAGAACGATGTCATCAAGATGATTCAGAGACCTGAGTGAAACCTACTGCTGATTGGCTGATTTGACTTGAGTGTTAAATGTGTAAACCTGTGGCGAACCCTGAGCGGGTCGTTGCTTAGAGAAGACGGAGGAGGTATTAGAGTTGTTTATTGGTCTGAATTGTCACATGGCAGTGTTAGGCACGACAATCTCACCCCTTCCTTTCCACCCCCCTCCCCCCGCACGCCACCCGCTGTCTCATCAGAGCCGGCGCTTGTTGTTGCCAGTCACCAAAGGATCGCACAGACTTGTGATTAGTTTTTAATTAATGACAGTGATGTGACATAAAGAAACTGCGGAATGTGTTTTCTTGATTGGATCTAAATGTGCGTCAGAGCAAAACTCAATTTCACTTTTAGCTTCAAATGCAAACGAGCGTTTTAAAGAGGTGAGATTCGACCTGAAATTCACTTCAGGGTCCAAAAAGTTCAGTGACAACAACAGTGGAATAAAAAAAACAAAAAAAAAAGGTGAATACACTTACAATATAATGGAAGCATAATGGCAACAAAGTTAAGATTACATTATATCTCTTTAAATTCAGCATGCTGTAACGCCAGGAGGAGTCATTTTGTTTTTCTCTACAGTATTTAAATTTGTAAATTATCGACACGGCGTCTGTGTTCGTTTCCCGTACAAATGGGCCTCGGGGGGAAAAGTTATATAATCGACATTCACTGAATTTACATTACAGGAAGTGGCTGCAGCTCACGTTATATACAACCAACACTTCAACCCGAGGGTGCGTACATGACATTAACATTTGCTCTGTTAAAAACCTAAAACACAGAATCTTTGTCCAGGCAGAGTGTACATCCTTCAGCTTCGTCTTTGTTAGTTCAGCCTACGAGAGCACGTGCAGTCCAAACCTTTTTCTTGTCGCTGTTTTTTTTTCTTTACATATTCCGTTAATGTCCCCCACCCGCCCATATAACACCAAAATAAACTAAATAGATATTACTTTAAATTTTATTTGCAATCATTCAGGGAAAGAACATTCTGTCATATCAAAAAAGGGGGAATCATACAGTTACGTCTAAGCGTCTCAGGAGTCGGGGGGGGGGGAGGGGTCGCTGCTGTCTGTCTCTCGGTGGATTATGATATGACTGAATAAATAGACTGTACTGTCGCTGCCGGGTCCCTTCAGTCGGCGTAGTGCATGATGGACTCCACGTAGTTGCCGGGGAACAGGCCGGTGACGCCGTTGCTGACGCCCTCGTACCAGCCGTCGTCGTTCTTCTTGATGACGTAGATAATCGCTCCCTCCATGAAGCTCAGCTCGTCGCCCTTGTCCTGGCAGTAGTCGTAGATGGCAACAACTGAAAAGAGAAAAACGTTTGTGTTGAGAAACTAATGGAAGAGAATAAGTTTTGGATCTGGATGAAAACAATCAGGCACATTTAGGGGACTGATATTTACGATGCAGATTCAAATAAAGATCAGGATCTGGTGGATTTGAATGTGGCGTCATGAGGGGATTGCTGGGCCTCAGCTGAGGAACCAACCTTTCTCCACGTAGTTCTTGGGTGCCCACTGTGGGTCTCCATCAGCGTAGGGGTCATTGTAGTGCACCACAGCAGCGTCCTCCTCCTCATAATCCACTGGCGGAGGCGGCGGAGGGGGAGGGGAGTCGTCGAACAGGGGCAGGTCATCCGGAGGTGGAGGGGGGGGAGGAGTAGGAGTATCTGCAACTGGTTGGACAGAAACGGAAAGTGAGACGACGGAGGAGTTTCCTGTTTGAGGTCACTTCAGCGTGAGCCTGCGATGGAGAGGGCGGCGGCTGAATCATGCAGAATTAACAAAACATGCATTTCCTGAAGATTAAATCGGTCGAGCGGCTGCATCACTGTTAGGTCCTCGATCGCTAAATGAAATGATGACTGTGCTTTTCTTCTTGTGGCTCCGAATCTATAACAGCACATGTACACAGAACGTGCGAATTACAATTGATTTGTTAACACTTCATTCATCTTACATGCATAGTCATGCTATGTGGTGTATTAGGAGAAAAACAGGTGGCTTTACTGTTGTATTATTGAGTTTTGTCTAAAATTATAAATCCTTAAACCTAATCTGTTAATAAATGTCCCCCCCGACATCCTAAACCTGCTGATTTGAAACATGAATGTATTTCACGGTTCAAACCAGCAGGGGGAGCCCAAGTGTCCAGTCGTCTCCTGCCCTGCCCTGCACTGACCTTTCCTCTGTGTTTTTTTTGTCTCTGTTGCAGAATTCAGCAGAAATTACTGGACAGATTCACACAAACCTCGGTAGAAGGATGTGGCTTAGTTAACGGACAAACTCATAAAATGTTGGTATCGATCCAGATCAGGGGGCAGATGCAGGAATGTTCTGTTCACTTTCTGGAACATTGAGATTTTAGACATTTTCCTGAATCTGGATGAACAAATGATTTCATCTGTCGTCATCTACGAGTGTGTGAGCCAAATAAAAATCTGGATCTCTGGACTGTTGGGCCTTGGCGGAGCAATGAGCTCTAGATAATAAGACATAAACTAGATGATCTAAATATCTACATAAAAATATATGTATTTAAAAAAAGTCCCTTATTCAGATTCACTATTCAGTGTCATTGTTAAAAATAAATACAGTCTGTTCATCTGCAGCTGAGGTCTGCCGTCATTGATCTAAACAGACAAGAGGGGGAAAGGACGGAGAGACACAATGCATGCTGGGTGCTGGGAATCGCTGGCGCAGATAAAAGGAAAGTACGTCTCAGTTCCTCTTCACTTACTGCTCTCCTGCATCCTGGCCACAAAGCCAGTCAGAGGTATCTGTGGAGTCAGCTGGGGCATGGGGGGAGGAGGAGGAGCGATAGACACTGAAAGCCGGCGAGAGAAGAAGAGACAGAGAAAGAAAGGATAAAAAAAATAAAGAGAGAGAAAGCCCATCAGTCACCAAGATCGTACAGAAGACAGTTAAAGGTGAACCCACGATCCCAAGCAAACACAGACACTAAAGAAACACACCGAGGAAACGAGCGCTCGTTATAGAAATAATGACTAAAACATGAATCCAGTCACACGTCTGCAGTTGCAGCGTCTCTGAAGTGTTGTACGCCTGAAACTTGACGAGCTTTCACACAGTATCTGGGATCACTGAGGTCGGAGGATCAACCGCGGATTATGTTTGCTTTCTGTCACCGTGGCTTTGAAATCAGCAAGTAAAGACAACAGCCAGAAGGGGGCACTGTTTGCTGCTCATCTCCATTTGCTTTCACTTTCCCAGATCATTTGACTAATGTTCGTCTTGCTGTGCAGACAAGCCACATTCAAAAAGCCGAGAATTCGACGTGCGCTCTGTATCTGACCCACATCTGGTTTGGGAGAAATTCAAGGTGCAAATACTCAATGAACTCACGATTATCTGAACGTGATCGTCCACATCTGGACGTTGTCTGTGATCTGATCTCAACCAGGTGCAAATGTGATTTATACAGCGAGACTAAATCCTTGAGGAAAATAAAAACCTCCTGCGAGTTTAATCTTTCAGTTATCTCAAGCAGCAAGTTAGTGTCAGCAGAGAGTCTTGTCCTCAATTACGTTCTCTTTGTCATAAGAGTTTGATAACGACAGTTTACATTGGTATCGGCCTCATCGATCGGTCTCTAATAAAAAGATTGCAGTTTGTTGTATCTTGAGTGAAATACATCTATACGTGAAACTTTAACGTCGATTGTCTTCATTTTATCTACTCTGGAATTCAAGGACGAGGCGACGGGCGTTCTGCATGAATACTAAACGTTCCCTCGGTTAGATAGAAAAGGCCTTAACCTGCACTTTCAGAGTGACGGGAAACGTCAATAATTCAAGGTTGACCTTCAGAAAACTTGTTCCCTGGCTACAGACGTTATCTGTCCTTGGTTTGTGACGGTGTATAATTTGGAGGACTGTGTGAATCAGGCTGGGACTGGAGACAGAAGGGCCTTACTTGAGTTCTGACCGTAGCCAGGAGTGCCTCCGTTTATATGAGGCTGCTGCTGCTGCTGTTGAAGTTGCTGCTGCTGCTGCTGCTGCTGTAGTTGCTGCTGTTGTAGCTGCTGCTGCTGCTGCAAGGAGAACTGGGAAGTGACCGACGGCGCCCGGCGGTAGGTGCCCGTGGCCGAAACCATAGAGACAGAGGAGTTGGAGGGGTTGTGCCGCGAGATCTGCCGCGAGATGGTTCCAAACTGGGACATGGGAGCGGGGCCCAGACCAGGCCCAGGGGCCACCACTAGAAACACCCAGGGAAGAAAGAGAGGAAGAACCGAGGAGGGAAGGGGGGATTAGACAGAGGAGACGGAGAGGGGGGGAGAGAGGGAGGGAGAAAAAAAAGCACCGAAAACATAAATCATCAACAGCTAAAGGATAACAAGAGCTTTTAAACACTGATTAGAGCCCCGCACCTTCGGAGAAGACACAATCGATAACGAATCAGAGGGAGCAACACCGATTGTTAATTGGTAAAACCGTTCCACAGATATCTCATGAGGGTAAAATGGAAAACACAGATTCCCGAGAGGTTATAAGAATAAATCCTGCACTTGAAGGTTCTTTAGAGATGTAGCAGAGGAGGTGAGGGAGCAGGGAAAAGATCAGAGCAGCAGCAGAACTCACTAATCCTCCAGGTTTCAGCAGAATAACTTTTCACACTCTTTTCATGGACACGATTAAAAAACGTCTACTCGTGCAGGGAGAGTTCACGTGAA